TGTGCTTGGCCAGGCTCAGCGGGCCTCGCCCGTGTCTGAGGCTGAGCTGCTCACCAGCTGACCTCTGACAGCCTCAGCTGGGAGAGTGCGGATGACTGGCAGCAGCTGCTGTGCCAGTCATGCTATTCGGCCACTTCCCTTGACAGCTTCTGAAGGTGACACCAGCTACTCTGTGAGCACCCCCCGCCTTGGAACCCACTCACTCCAGGTGAGTGGGGCCCTCATTCTGTGCAAGCTTGGAACGGGGTAGAGAGGAATGTGTGAAGGACACAGATGCTGCCCTTCAAGAGAAGAGAGGCAGATACATAAACCTGAAACAGGGCCCGTGGTCGTGGCAGCACGTGGTCGATGTCAAAGTACAGATGCCCTGTTAGGTTCCTGGGGAAGAGAAGCCCCTGTGGTCTGAGATTTGAGCTGAAGCTCACACAGGTGCCCCTCTCCTCTCCAGACGCTGTCACTCATCTTTAGAACATGGCCTGCATTGGCCTGCCCTGGTTGCTGTAGCCGGGCTGCAGTTTCCACGTGGACCAGTTTCCATGTGGGCGGTCCCAGGGTACTGGGCCAGCTCAGCCATTTTTGAGACTTCCAATCTGTCTTGTGTTTTGTAGCGCACCTTGCAAAAATAATAACATTAAAGAACATCATCTAACAACTCCCCATCTGGAAGTTTATCCTAGAAATGCAAAAGGATGTATGTTTAAAGATTTTTATTGGAACACTGGTTGTGGTCCATTCATTTATAAAGGAAAATAGGGATTCACTCAAAATACAGAGGTAGCGAGGGTTTACCCATATTCATGCTGATCACATTTATACTTGTATGTAAATGGTATATTTATGGACGTAGAGAAGGGACTTGAGGACACGGGGAGGGGGAAGGGTAAGCTGGGATGAAATGAGAGAGTGGCATGGACATATATACGCTACCAAATGTAAAATAGATAGCTAGTGGGAAGCAGCCGCATAGCACAGGGAGATCAGCTCGGTGCTTTGTGACCACCTAGAGGGGTGGGATCGGGAGGGTGGGAGGGAGACGCAAGAGGGAGAGGATATGGGGATATATGTATACGTATAGCTGATTCACTTTGTTATAAAGCAGAAACTAACACACCGTTGTAAAGCAATTATACTCCAATAAAAATGTGAAAAATAAATAAGTAAATAAATAAATAATAAATAAGGACATCAGTGGCTCCGAACCGGCAGCGCCCAAAAGTGGATGACTAGGATTCTGAAACCGTCCCTCCCTCTGTGTGGTTGGAGAAGACAGCTTATTAGTAGGCGAGCTGAAAATAGAAAGTGGAAATGGGGTAGCAAATCAGAGACGACCTCTGCAGTGGGCGGCAGCCGGGCCCCATGGGAAGGCCTGGAGAGGGTGCTTGGATGAGTTATGATGCTCTCTGAGGTGCCTGGGAGACAGGTCCGTAACGCCCTGCCTCCCATGGGAATTAGAAGAACTGAGTGAGAGAGTCCTTGAGAAGGACCGCAGCAGGCCTAAGTTTCTGGCCCCACGAAGAGTGGTAAATATTATTAATAGTGATGGTATTATTATCCTTGTCAATGATGCTATTATTATATCCTTTGGAAATATAGGAATGGTCAAATTAATCCCCAAATGCCTCATTCTCTAAAATACTTGGACCAGTGGTATTGATAGGACCATCGATATCACACTTCCAGTAGGCCCTCTGCCTCTTCAAGTACATTTGTTTTGTTCCTTGATGCTGTTTTGGTTTTGTGTTTTTATTAGTAGTAGCCCTTTTCAAGAGCAGTTTTAGGTTCCCAGCATAACTGAACAGGATACAGACTTCCCACATCCCTCCGCCCCCATCACACACGCAGCACCCCCATCAATATCTTGTTCTGTTTTGTTTGTTCTTCCGGTGGGAACCCGATTTCCAGTGGGTAACATGGTTAGAAGAGAGTTTCTTGTAAGCAAAGTGGCATGCCGCCCTCAGATACCAGGAGGTGCTCTGCAGCTGGAAAGGAGCCCCATGGCCTGGCAGGCCCCTGGGTGTCAGAGGAACTTTGTGCCAGGGTATATGAGGGTTGGCGTCCCCACCTCACGCTGCCTTGTGCACGGCACTAACTTGGCTTTCAACAGCCATCACCCTTGAAAGCACAGAGAGCCTGGCAGATCTATTCATTTCTGGTCCTAATCCAAGTGTTGACATTGCCATGCATTAGATGGAGCTTCTTGCCTCGAAACAGGATCAATACATAATATTGGAACATGGTCTTGGAGAGAGAGTTTATGGACTTGTAAGCGGCATTGGGGGTTTTAGCCTGTTGAGTATGTCAGCTACGGACAGCTTATTTAGTTCTTGGTTAATCCACAGATGTGTAACTCTGTATTCCAATTACTGCATTTGGCTGTCCCTTCAAAGACAATGATAAAGCCTGCATAATATGGGATCGGCCAAATCATACAGCAAAAGAGGGTTTGAGTCCATTGCGACTTGGGAATGTATATTCTGACTCACCCACAAAGCTATAAAATACAGCACTAATTTTTTTTAATTGACATTTCCACTCCCCCCCGAAAAAACACCCCACAGGCAAAAAACTTTGTACAGCTTATGAATAGACCAATCAGTAGAAAGTTCTTTTTAAGGCTTCTCAGCATGGCTGGCTTCCCAGGCTCACCAGAGATTAGAAAAGTGTAAGAAAGAGTCCTGACCTCTCAAATCTCCCACCACCTACAAAAATCACATAAGAAACACAAATTTAAGGTGGACAAATCAGAAAATATGGATAGGAATTATAAAGTGCAGATAGAGTTACACCAACCAAGGGAAAAACTATTTTGATTTATGGTCTTACAAACTCTTATGTGCAAATATCAATATATAAGTGTGTGTATATGTATGCACTCATATACATGGATAATTTAACAAAAAAGAGGTTGTACACAATGTCTTATAGCATTTTTTTATTTAACAAGGGATCGTAAATGCCTTTCCTTGTCACTAAATATGAATTTACATAATCCCTGTTAACAGTATTTCCTTGAATGATGAATCATTACTTATATAACCCATCCCCTATGGTATATTTTGTTAGGCTTTGGTAATTTATTATAATCACCATTTTGGAATGAATATCCCTGTTGCATATGTTCCTGTGCCCTTGTCTGATACATCCACGGAATCAAGCGTTAAGATGCACTTTAGAATCTTACAATCTGGTTTAAAAGACCAAACACATAGATGTGAAAAAGAGAACCAGTTCATAAAGGGGGAGGAGTGTCTCAATGAGTACAACAGCCAAGAGTCAGAGGCCAGAGAGATCGTCTCATGCTTGAGTTGCTCCAGAAGGCTTCTAGAAGGACAGCTGCAAGTGACAGAGATGCAAATCAGCTTAAGCATCAAAGGCACATTATCAGCTCATGAAATTGGAGAGTCCACATTGGTTTCAGGCTGAGCTGGGCCCAGAGTTCACATGGTGTCACTGGGCACGCGTGTGTGTGTGTGTGTGTGTGTGTATACACACGTGTGTATCCACCTGTCCTACCACTTGGTTCGGCTCCTTGCTGGGTGAGCTCACTCTCAGGCAGACTCTCTAGGGCAGCTGCAGACTCAGGTGGTGCTTTTATCTCCAAGGGGAGAGGCCCCCTTTCCCAGCTTCTCTGTTGACCCCTGCCTGTCCCCTTGCAGACCTTTTGCCCACCCACCACTGCCTGATGGAGAATGGCGTGTTCCAGAGCCCAGCCTGGGCCCTGTGCCCGTGCCCTCTGGTGAGGCGGGTGGGGTATGTGATAGAGGCCCTTCCTGCAGAGCAGTTAGCCAAAGGAAAAGATGCTGGGAGGTCAAAATACGAGAGAGGAATGACTCCTGAGGTTGCTGGAACTTGAAGGATGAGCAGCCACGCCCATTAGAAGTTTGGGGCTGCAGGTAACAGGGGAACTCCAAATCAAATGGGCCTGTTTGCCAGTATGTTATGCTATGGAGTCCAGAGGCAGGGGGTGGCTCAGGGATCATGTGATCAATGGCTCAGTGACATCATTACATTGACTCAGGGTCAACGTCATCTCAAGCCAGAGTTCTCTCAATTTGTTGGCCAATGGCAGTCAGGACTCCCAGCTTCCTGGTCCACAGCTGGAGGGTGAGGACCCACTCTCTGTGGCAAGGACTGTAAAGCCTTTCCTGCCATCTGATTGGGCCAGCCAAGGTCACGTGCCCACCCCTGAACCAATAGCCATCCCTGCGGAATACTGCACCCTGATTGGCTCATCAGGGTGATCTACTCCTGGAGGAAAGGGTGGAGCCACCTTCCACATGGGAGCAAAACTGGGGTCCTATTAGGAAGGAGTGGAGGATGGATGCTGAGTGGTCAACCAACAACGGACTGCAAATAAGATCTCATTAATTAGAGAGGAGACATAGAGTTGGTTAAGGTAGAGAAGTGATTTGTGGCCCAAAGGTAGAATTCCAAGGAATGCCTTGGTTATGGTTGACCAAGGATATGGAAGCAAGACTGCAGGGGCTGTCCTGCAGGGAACAGGAGAGTGAACAAACTCAGTAGGAAGTACTCATCTATTTGTTCCTTCATTGCACATAAATTTATTGAGCACCTACTATGCACCAGGCCCTGTGCTGGGTGCTGGGGATCAATGAGATAAAGTTCATACCCTCATGGACTTTTAGAGGGGGAAAGAGACAACAAACAAATTAATCGAACATAAAATAGGTCAAGAGGAAAGGAAAGCAGAATAAGTGGGGTGAAGAGAAAGGGAAGGGAGGGGAGTCCAAGGCCCCTTGCTTTGATTGACATTAACCCAGGGACCTGAAGGACATGGAGGACGGAGCCAAGTTGATGCGGGGGGAACGTGTTCTGGGAAGAGGGAACAGCACGTGTAAAGGCCCTGGGGCAGGCATCCGTGGTGTGTTTGGGGACCTAGGAGGTGGACAAGGTGGGAGGGTGGGAGGTGGCAGGCATTGCAACGACTTTGTACATGGTGTCATGACTCTGACTTTAACCCCTTCCCTCCTCTCTTCCAGGCCATGTACATGTTCTATGCGCTGGCGATTGTGTGTGATGACTTCTTTGTCCCCTCCTTGGAAAAGATCTGTGAGGTATGTGTCTGAGCCCTGGCACTGCTCCATCCTCCCTGACTGAGGTCCTGGGGAGCCCTCCATGCAGCTGGGGTGGGAAGGCCAGGCACCAGCATGCTTCAGAGCCATGGGCAGTATTAGTGCAAAAACATCTCCAATCTGCTTAGAATTTCAGTGTGCAGATCTGTAGTTGGGCTTTAACCCTCACGGCCAGTGGTCCCTGCCCCATTGGGCGTGACTCAAGGTACCGCCTGTGCTCTGCTCCTGCTTTCTAAGCGTGGCTCTTCCTTTCTCCTCTCACTTCCTCCATCCTCCCCACTGCCCTTCCCTTCTGCTGCTGCCGTAACCCTCCCTTGTGATTCGATTCGTGGGGTCCTCACAGAGTGAGAAGTCTTCAGCCATACCTCCACTGCCCTTCCTCTCCGTGTATGTGCAGAGACGCTCCAGGCAGAGGCCTGAAAGGCAAGACGATGAAAGAACTGGCCACAGAGACCAGGAAATCAGCCCGGGGAACGCCAGGCTGAACACCAAGTTACACCCCTTTCATCTGAAAACACTTACAGCATATCTAGAGCTCTTTCATTCGCTTGCTTCTTTCATCTCTTTTTCTGGTTTGAAATGTAGTTTGCTTTATCTGGAAGCTTTCTGTTTAATTTTATTTTTAATTCAGAATCCCATTTGCAGAAGGGGTCTCTTCCCCAGATGCACTTCCTGTCCATCCAGAGCGCCTGCTCCTTCACGTAACGTAACCTTCAGCCTGGGCTGACCCTCCCTTCCTTCCCTCCCTTCCCCCCAGTGTCTGATTCACTGGGTCTTGGGGGACAGTGGGGAACAGGAGTAGTATTTCTATTAAGTTCCCAGGTGATGTGGAGACTGCTGGTCTGGAAGACACACTTCGAGAACTGCTAACTGAGGGAGTTTCTTCCACATCCTGAAGTCTGTTAGTTTTGTGTACTTAAAGCAATAGAAGAGAATCATGCCACAGCAACCGTGGAGAGGCCCTGGGAGTGGAGGTGGGAAGTGGGAAAGGAAAATCGGTGATCTGGTCTCTGAGACGGACGCCGGCCAGCGTGGAAGCCTTTTGTCCAAAGTGATTGAACCGTGAGAACAGGGTCGCCTGATGGAGAAGAGGAGAAAGCGCGGAAGCACCTGTAATCGGGCTCACCTGTGATCTCTGAACTCCACCATGTGGCCGTTTACTCCTCATGTGAAGCGAACTACTCTCTGTCCCACACGTTTTTTTAATAGCAACGTTAAGCCCTCGTGCTGCAAATGTACATGCAATTGTCAGAACATGTTCCCCTCTGTTGAGGAGACTCATAGCACCTGTGAGCGCAGCCCTTGGGGAGGAATCAGGGTGAAACACAGCGGTCGCGGGGGGCCGTGGGACGCGGGGCAGCTCCAGAGTGAGACACAGGGGCAGGTGAAGCGCTGCAGCTGGCGATGCAGAGGGAAAAGGAGGTGAGAGAGTGACTGGGCCTTGGGGTCGGGGAAGGGCTTGTGCAGGGCCAGGATGGGAGCAGCGGTCTCAGTGGCAACGTCTTACAAGGACGGATATTTAAGCCGAGAAGAGTCTGAGCCGGTGAACCAAGCGTGGAGAACCCGGGGCGAGACTCAGCGTGCCCGCGTGTGGGGAGCCCTGAGGACGCCAGGCTGGGGCATCGGGAGGGAGCTGGGAAAGCTTCTGAGGACTGTTCCGATAGATGGAAAGGGTCCCGAGGCAGGAAGACCCCCCAGCTGGTGACTCTAAACACCCAGTGCCAGGTGGCCAGGGCCAAAGTGAATGAGGGGTGAAAGGGGAGGGGAGGTGAAGGAGGAAGAAGCAAAGTGAGTGAACAAAGGAGTGAGAGGAACAGATCAGCCCGGCTGTGGAGTCCACGCCCGAGCTGGAGCGGACACAGCGGGGAGAGGACAAACCAGCCACGGAGCGTGAGCGCTGTTAGGGTACCTGCCCGGTGAGACGGGATGCCCGGCCCCGCTCTCAGCCACACCTTTCACCTTAGGTATCAGCACCACCACATGCAACGTTTAGCTTTTCGGTCAAGATCGAGGGAACCCAGGTTTCCAGGTCAAAATGCTCAGTAGGGCTCTGGCAGCAGCCTCTTGATGGTCATTCGAGCTGGTGGCCTTCGCCGAGGCCGTGCTGCCCCTCCATGGCTGAGCAAGGAAGTGCAGCTACGGTGCCTCCGGGAATAGGGACCAGGGACTCTTAGCTGGGATGCCCGGAGGGATGGCTATTTCCTGACAGCCAGCAGCTTCCTTTCTGCATCAGGACTGGATGCAGAAAAGCTCCCCACACTACCCAGCCTCAGTGTCACGTGTCCTCTTGCAGATCACCTTTCGGATCAACAAACCGGGTAACCTGGACAGTTCATTGTGTAGCTTATCTTGGCGGGGCTCATCATCTCTTTGTACTCATTCTCACCACCCCCCCATACTCCCCCTACCCCGGGATTCAAGACTGCATTGCGAATGGGGGTGGGTTTCAGGAGGGTGACCCTCCCCACTCCCAAAAGCCTCCATAGCCTCCTAGACTCAAGGCTCTAAAACTGCTTACCAGGAGCCTGATGTAGCCCGAGATCATCAGCATAGTAATGAAAAAAATCAGGATGTTTTACGTAAAAATGTGTATTTGGGGGTCTCTTTAAATAGGGATACTTGGCAACACAGAGGGCATTGAGCTTTTAAAAAGGAGGTGGGGCTTCCCTGGTGGCGCAGTGGTTGAGAGTCCGCCTGCCGATGCAGGGGACGCGGGTTCGTGCCCCGGTCCGGGAAGATCCCACG